TGGTTTAGTAAGTAAAACATAAGTATTTTCTTCTGGGTGTACTACCTTTCTTTGGTAGTGACTTTTTTCCTCTTCAGCTTGTCTTTTAAAATTCCTTAAATATATTCCTTCTTGTTGCTATATAACAGGCTGGATTCCTTTTCTCCTTATGCTTCTTTTTAAACTTCCTTTTCCCTTGCTTTCCTCATTACCCTTTCTTTCCTTGTGTCTAGTTTTATCTCTCCTAGGTTAAGACAAAGTTTTTACTGGGTGTAATATGAACATGGCATCCATGTGGATGCAGAGGAACACTACAGCTCAGTGTTAGCAGGTCACAGAAGGCACAGGCTTTTTGCTAATCCTTAAACTGTGGCATGTGCCCCAAACACTGTGACAGCCAGGTGAATCTCTGCCCTTCTCTGTTATCCATTAGCACTGTCAGTCCAGAGCCCATGGAAGCTGAAGAACATCCTCCAGGTTTTGCTTGCTCCTGACAAAGCTTGTCAGCCATAATGCTACAAAAGGAACTTCTGCATTTCCACTGCTAAGGGTGACAGTAGGATATTCATTTGTACCCTATCATAAGTGGTCCTAATACCACTGAGCAGTGTTTAGTGATTTGTGGGTTCCTGTTGGTAAGTGTCCTCTCCTGATCCTCAGCTGTTTGTGTAAGGGCCGGTGATGTGCTCCCTCAGTACCACCTGTAAAAGGAAGAGGCAGAAACAGAAAAGCAGTCAGCTCTTCAATAAGTGTTTGGAAAATGCTGTCAGACACATGGTGTGAGTCTTGGCATGTCCTGTGCAGGGCCAGGAGTTGGACTTGATCCTTATGGGTCCCCTTCCACAGGGAACTGTCCATCCCACCGATGGTAGCCCTGGGCTTCCTGGTGCTCAGGACATGAAGTATAGAAATGTTGTAGCCAAAAACTGAGAAACTAGGCTGAGCCTTCAGTGGAATGATGTGAAGCACAGGTTTGGTTGGGAGATGCTCCTGCTTCATCTACAATTCTTCCAAGCACTGTTTGTACAGGGAACAGTAACAGGAGCACTTAACAGTTCCAAGCTGTTATTCCAGTCATTTTTCTCTGATACAATGCATGGACAATCCCCCAAGTTTGCACACCCTTAAAACACAGACCTCTGCTGCACATGCATGTCTGTTGGCAGTTTCTTCCTTACCTGGCATGCAGTGTTTTCCTTCAGTAACACCCTGTGACCAGCTGGGATGGGAGGTTTTCAGCTGGCCCAGCTTTCATGGTCTGTTGCTTTCTTGGTTTTTGCTCTCATTGTCCTCTTGCACGTGGTTCTTTCCTATGTGTTTTTCACAATGCCCGCTTCCTGTCCCGTCCCTTCTCAGGAAGCTGTTCACTGTTACTTTAGGTTTTTCTATTTACAAACTCTTGTTCTGCATCTGAAGAACCTGCTGTCCCTACCAGTCCTTCCTTCTACTGTTAAAAGCAGGCACCCCCGCCTCACCCCCAGCTTCACAGTCCTTACAAGGGAAATATCTCTACTTCCTGTGCAACATAAGAGCATCTGAGATAATATCACTGGGTAATTATCCATCTTGTAAATACTTCTCAACCACCCACCAATCTTTTTATCAATTTAGGCTCCTCTTGGAAAACGGGTTTGTTATACACAATTGCAAAGCAAACTTCTAGAAAGCTAAAAGCTCTCTTCTGGAATAGGAATATGACACATTCCTAGTCAGTGTTGCACTAGTACTGATGTAAACTGCCCCATAATTATTCATGGTACATTTACATTTGAAGTCCTTGCTTAAAACTGTATTTGAATGGGAACATTGGTAGAAACAGTGCTGACAGACTTTTCATCATGGTAAAATGCCTCTTTCTGTAGCAGCTGGCATTCTGTATTTCTGTGATCTAGGCTATGTAGTCACTCTTAAAATGAATCCTGACTATGAAATGGCATAGGGAACACAAGCTAAGCCTTGGCTGAGAATAATTTGTTATGTAATTAGTACAATGATAAGAATATATCAAAACCTCCACTCTTTAAAGCGTGGTAGGCATAGGAATTTTTATGTTTCCTTTCCAACCTACGGGTTTCAACTGCTTGTATCTTCCAGAATTTTTCAGATTTTTCACTTGTTTGAAAGCAGGTCTTTTATTTCTAGAAAGTCTGATAGGGAGAGAAAAGTTCTTTTGATCAGACCGCTTTTATAATGGTAACAGTGCCTCAGAAAATAAAATGGATTGCTCAAAGACATGTACTGATTTTGGAGAAAGTCCTTGATAAATCAGAGGAGCAAAAAAAAAAAAAACAAAGGATTTGGCATGGCAAGTCAAACTGTAATTTTAGGTGGTAACAGGCTTCAGAGTAGAAGAATGTAGAATTCTTTGATCAGAATTGCTTTTAGTGGGAAATCCTTTCTTCTGTCATTGTTCCCTTCCAGGTAAATGACAATGTTCCCAGTAGAAGCAGTTAAAAAGGCACAATTCAAAATACTATATATGACACATATATAATTCTTTCACAGTTACTGAATAGTAACTTCTGGATATTGGAGATCTAAAATAGTAATCTTGAAAGGCATGTTGTCAGGTAAACTACATATTCCATTTTATTTTTGACTCAATTTTACTGCCATTTGGAGCATATACGCAGTTATCTGGGGTACTGAACACTACAAAAATAATTTTAAAAAAAGATATAATGGCTTTAAGCTACTTAGCAGTGGTGTGTCGTAGTGTCATATATCTAAAGTTGCCATTTTAAAGTACTTCTTCAAGCTTTTACTCTAAATGTATTTGTATTTCAAAATTAAATACAATTTATCTTGAAGCTTTCATAACTGTTATTTCCTGTGGAAAAACAGTACCACTTTCTAGATTAAATTGGGATAGCAAGCATCTGTCAAGTCTCTTCAAAGAATTTTCATTGTTTTGTAGTGAAGAGATTAAAACAAGTAAATGATTTTTAAAATTTAGACTTTATCATTACTTTTCTAACTGAGAACTAGATAATTCAGGTATTAACTTGCTACTTATTCCTGTCACAGAGTATCTTCTAAGGAGAAGATCTCAATGGGTGAAGCCAATTTATCAAGTAAAGGAAAATGGTTGTATTTACCTTGTTGATTTGTCATACCTTCAAAGGAATCACTAAGATATAATTCTTAAGAGTGGTAAGTTAACTAGTGCTAGTCACATCACAATTTATTTCTTAGAAGAGGCTGCCCAGAAAAGCAGCTGTAGTAAAATGTTCTAACACCATCACTGTGTGGTGTTAGAATGGCTTTTTCATTCTCTTGAATTAAAGATCTAGTCTAGATGGGAAAGTAATAGCAGATGACACCACATACCAGTGACACCAGCAGCTGAGTGGATGGCACAGTGCTGGCAGGGACAGCTTCCCTTAGTACTGGGACGGATGCTTTGAGATTCCAGGTTGATGCAAGAGCTGTGCAGAAAGCCAGAGTGTTTCAAGTTTTGTGCAGCTGCTTGACAGGTATTACTGTCAGGTAAGAAATCTGATTTTATTCTGAATTCAGGTACAAAAATCTAAGAAAATTGTCTGTTTGGGGAGGATTAAAAGTGAAACTGCTTCTTTTTGTTTGGTCTTGCACAAATTCTCAACACAGAAGCTGGGGAGCAACATAGATTTCCTTTGCATTTAACAGTTCTTACTGTCTTGCAAAGTTGTTTCTTATGAAATGTTGGAATACCATTTTAGCAATAAAAATAGTAGTACCAAGTCCTTATGGTGTTTCCTTGTCTTCACTTAAATGTTATTAGTCATTCCAGAAAGTCAAAACACTGTTGTTAAAATCCTTTCAGTATCTTTTTAGTAGTGTCACTGTTTGATGGAGACTGTGTTCACCACAATGCAGAAGAATTCGTAATCTCCTTCCAAGTTTTGGTAATTTTCCAAAAGACAGCTTTTACACTTGATTTGGGGTTTGCAGGCTTCTTTCAATTTTTGTTCCCTACTCTTACTGCTCTTGGACTGCACTAATTCAATGTTTCTGTTTTAGGATACTAAGATGTATGTAAAATAGTGAGAACCTTCCTACTAAGACTTAACAGCAAGACCTCAGTCCCTGCAAGTTTTTAGAGAATTCAACTAAGGGTAGCAGTACAGAGACCTGAATTACAGAACCCTTATACATCACTTCCAAATTCATTCTGTGTTTCAGCTGAATCCAGTACACTGAATCCAGTCCTAGGAGATCAATGCCAAATGCTGAACAGCACACCTCATTAATGTAACTATGTGAGACACTGGATGCTGTCTGTAGGTGATCTGTTCAGCTGCTGGATCTCATTGTTTGTTTTAACTAAACCCATTTCCTGGTGTTCTGAAGCAAGTTCTCTCTTCTCTACTTAATAAATAAATTCTAATTGTTCTGCATTTGTTTGCTTTCTGTTTAGGCATGTTGCACTGGAGGGTGCTATATAAACCCCAATTAAGCTACATAAATTATCAGCCATGTGATTCTTGTAATGAATTGTTCCCCTTTATGTCACGCATTCGGAGGACATAGCCCCATGGAATTATTCAGACTTTCATCCCGTAGTGGTTTCAGTACTTTATTTTGAAAGTCTCTTAATAGCTAGTTTAAAACAAGAGAACAATTAAATGTAAAGTGTTCTTTATTAAATAAACTCAAAAGATAAAGCAAATTGTGCAGTTAAGAAAGACAACAACGTGGCTAAAGGATTTTTACAGCAGAAAACAAATTGCGGCAAATGAGCATTTCAGTCTAGCAGCCAAACTGTCCTCATTTTTATGGAGTTAATTTCGGTCCTCAAATTGTGACTTGTTTTTTAAAAGATATGCTGCTAGAAATTCAATGGGATTGGGCGGTCTGCAAAGAAAAAAAGTAAATCAAAAGCAATTATTTTTTATTATATGAAATTAGGTAGATGAAGGACCAATCACCTTCCCTTAAAAGCAACAGAGCTCCTCCCAAACACTTCTAAGCATTGATTTAGGGATGACCAATGACCTAGAGTGACTCTGTAATTTTCCCGTTTATGTCTAATTAGGAAGTTTTTAAAAAGGGGTCTTAGTCACCATGGGTTCAATGTTACTAAATTGCTAGAACAGTTACCTACTTACATACCTAAAACCACAAGCTGTAAGCATAAATACTGTATGTACATCCTTGGATACGACATGAATTTGCCAATTTCTTTAACTTATGCTATTTAAAGTAAAACTGAATCTGTTTTTTTTTTTTTTTTTGAGTGGTTATTGTGTAGCTTAGTGTATTAAGAGTTATTTCATGGTTTCTGGCAACTGAAACACAACAAATCTTCAAGTCTGAGAAGTACTGTAACTTACAAGTAGTCAATAATAAACACTTTTGATCACTGGCCTTAGTCCGTAGTTTTTTTTAAAAGAACTCCTCTGGCTATACCATGTGAATCCTGCTAATCTGGATTCTGTCCACAGAATAAATGACATACTTATTCCACAGCAGGTCAAACCAAAGGTCTGGCAGTGAGCAAATATGCCTATAAAGAGCACAAAAACAACAACAACAAAAAAAAAAAAAAAAAAAAAATGCAGAGATACTTCTCGACCATCCTTTTGGCTTCCAAGCATGTACCAATTCCTGAGCTAGCACCCTTAATAGTCCTGGGTGGATTCCTCTACACCTTTGACCAGTTGCCTCTGGAGCACAAATAAAATATTAATGTCCTCAACTGAAAGCAAAAAAATAGCTTAATTATGTGACCTGTGAAGGATCAGCTCTTCTGTTCGCTATGAATTTGCTACCTGCTTTGTTTAATTTGATTACTGTATCAGAAGAGATAATAAACAGTCCATCCCAATACGTCATCTCTGTGCTGTTGTGATTTAACAGGCTCCTAATATGTTCGTCCACAGAAGCCTCTTTTCTAGATATCATCTATTCAGTCATTCCATATACAGACAGCATTCCATACTTATGACTACCTTGTCACTCTCACTTTTTCACGTTCTACCAGAATACAGGGGAATTATACATAATATTAAAAATACAGGAATATCACAAATTTAAATAGTGACATTACGCTTTTTTTTTACCCTTTTAAGTTGGTTTTACCCCTTCAATTTCTAAGTCCTACCATTCAGAATTTATTTTTTATTAAAGCAGTGCATTGACATATACATGTAACAGTTTAACATTTTTCCACAAGGGTAATTTTTAGCTCAGAAGCTAACATTTTGTCAGTACTGTTTTTAACCACTCTCTGAGGTCTACAATTTTATGTTTATTTGGATTCAATGTCATTTTCTGTCAGTTTAAATTATTCATGGCAGTCTTCAGTTTTATGACGTTCCTGTGCAATTATTTACAATTGATCAACTTAAAAAACAAACAGAAACTGAAACACAAAACTCCCTAATCTAGTCTGTAAAACTCAGTCTCATTAACAACTTTTCAGCCACTTCTTCAAATTGTTATAAGTGATCTTTTCCATTATTCTAGAGTTGAGCTTGTTTCACCATGAAAATTCAACATTTACTTCTACCCTCTATCTCATATCTTCCCATCAGTTCCTCATCCATATGAAGGTGTTTCCTTTAATCCCAACAGCAACTAACCCTCTTTAAAAGCTGTTAGTGAATAACTATGTGAAAAACTTTTTGGAAATTTAAACAGACAGACTACATCATCTGCATTCCTCTTTATGCATGCTTGCTGACTCCTTCAATAAACTCCGAGACACTTAAAAGACCTAACAAAAATTGTGTTGACCTCCTCCCATATATGTCATTTATTCATATGCTCACTATCCTGGATGGTAATTTCTACTGAATTCCAGGCATGATCATCAGATTTATTGGGCTGTTCCCTGAACATTTCTACATTCCTTTGAAAAAGGACTTAGTTCTTTTCCACTAGTTATTTTCCCATTCAATTTTAAGCAGTAAGTTATACAGCAGAGCTGATAGTTCAGCTTTCTCACTCCTGAGGGTTTATTATGCTCAGCTGAACAGACAGTTTGCCCTGGCAGGTTCATACTATTCAGATTTTTACCTGTATGTTCTCCCCAACTCCTCCTATCAATGATCCAATTTCACTGCTGTGATGAGCCCCCGCAAAGAAGATGGAGAACAGGCAAGACAAGGCAAGGCAAGGGGAAGGGAAAGAGAAAGGGAAGGGAAGGAAAAAGTTTGCCTGTCACACAGGTATTCAGAGTGTAAGGGTGGGGTATTAACCTTGAGCAGCTGTGTTTTACATTGAGTCTGCAGCAGAACTCCCACAGATGTCAGCTGAAGATCTGCACATCCCTCAGGTGTGCACATTGGTGGACCTTCCTAGGTGCCTAATTTTGCTTAATTAGCTGTCTGTACACTGCAGTTTAAATTCCCAACTCCTTTTGAAGGTCATACACTGTTGATGGTTTTTCTGACTGCAGGTGCCATGATGCAATTATGGTCACTTATACCAGCTTTTGTTTGTATTATTTCAATTTGACAGATGGTTACATTCAGTACAATTTGCCACTAGTGAGGACACATCAAAAGGCCAGAAATTATTTTTGTTAAGATGAACATCTGTTTGCTTTTATTGAAGGATAACTTTCTACACTGACTGGTAAAGAGAGCTGGGGCATCTCAACAGCATAATCTTTACCCAGAGGATAAACCATCAGTCTGCTTCTTACTCTGTTGACAGTGCAGGCTCAGCCATATCCTTTAGGAAGTATCTTAATCTCTGACAAAGATGCATGTCATGCCTGATTTGTCTTTCCTTCTCTTAAATGTCAAGCACAACTGTTTATAATTCCACACTACAAAAATCTTCAGAACTAGAACATCCTCTTGCCTTGTTTCTCTGAGGTGAATTATGTGATAAAAGCAATAACAAAACCCCTCCCATTTTTCCCTCTAAAACTTTCACAGTAGCGTACCTCATTGGGAGATCATGAATTCAATAAAAAACTCCTGTCATGCCGTGTGTGCCTAAGTGAGGAATCCATCCTGCATGGTCAATCACAGCAACTCATGGGTTCATAAACCTGTTATAACGAGGATCTTACAAAGAGCAAAACCATATTTGGTGTGTGAGGCCTGAAAGGTGCTGCACTGCCCAAGTTTGAGACCTGCATTTTCCTAGGAACAGAAGGGACAGAAGCATCTTACCTCTCTTTTGCAAGAACAGCAAGTCCCTGTAGCAAGATAGGTACAACTGTCTGATCCAAGTAGGCACGTGTGGGTAATGACTGAAGATCCACCTTCTGCTTTGACGTTTTCTCAGCATTTAGTTTCTCATTTTCTACTATCCTCTGAAGTATAAAAGAAAAAAAAAAAAAAGTAAGTGAATGAACACTGTTAATAGCAGCCACATCTACTTTAAAGTGCGTGTACAAAGTACCCGTCTCTGCAATTCGATGGCAAAAATTTCTTTACATCTTTTAAGAATATTTAAGTGCATATTTTTCCTTGCACAAAAACCTAATCCAGAGGAACCTTCTGTTAAATTCCTACATTTTTGGGAAACAAAGTTTAGAAGTTGTAAGTTTTCTACAAGAGAAGACATCCAATCCCAGTAATTTTTATTTCTGCTTTTGCATTCACTAATTTGAACTCTACACCACTAAGACAGGAATGACTACCAACAAGTCTCAGTTGGATGGTTCCTATACACGTGCTTCTAACACCAAATGCTAAAAGCACAAGGAACTCAGGTGAAGCCTGACAAAGGGGACTCCGCTAAAGTCAAGTACTTTGTGACTGTGCTCTACTCAAGTATAGATGGACACTTTAAACAAAACATATGCAAAATACTTCCAGGTACTTTTTGATCAAAAAGTGCTGAATCATCTTACACCATTAACTGTAGTTGAAAAGTGATACCCTCCCACTGCCAGTAAACCGAATGTATTCAGTGCAATGTACATGAATCTACTGGCACGGGACCAATGTGTTATGGCTCTGTAGGAACTATGGAAGCTGAGGCATAGACACAAGCACTTATCAGAGAGATGAGTCCCAGATGTTTTAAAATAGCTTCTGCAAAAGCTTAGCACAGAGTAGGAAGTTATAATAAAAGGAGACTGAAGACTTTTCTTTAATAAGAAGTAAATGCCATAGAGTTAGGAAGTGATTCTCCCAGTCTACTCAGCATAGGTTGAGCCTAATGTGGATGGGTTTTTTTGTGCCATAATATATATCTATATCTCTCACAGATAGCAATAGAACAGATAATAATCATAAGATACTTCAAAAAAAAAACCCCAACTCATTAAAAGGCTCATTAGCTACTTCACTACCATTTAGAACAATGGAAGTAGCACAACAGAAAATATATTTACAGCCATTTCTACCAGGGACAGGTATTGCTTAGCTCCATTGAGAATATTACATTTTCTGAAGTTAGACTCAGGAGATAACTTTCCCCAAATCACAAATGTGACTTCCACTGCAACAAAATCTTTGTTACCTCTACATTTTCAGTGAGGCCATATTCGGAATGAGGATTTTCTGGAACCTGTAAAATAACACATAGTTAGTAAAGCTAAAATTCTCCTTTTACACGTGAAACATAATGCACATAAAACTTTTCTTTTTATACCTGTGGCTGTCCCTCCATAATCTGTTCTCCCTCCATGATTTGAAAAGTGAAATCTGATGGATGTCCAAGAAGATCTAGGCAAGCAATAAAAAAACTGGTCAGTAGGCTGAGATGAAGCCCATCTGAGCTAAGTGATATTGCATCACTTGGTTACTAATGGTTACCAAGGCACAATTACTAGAAAGCAGAGGGACCGCCCCCCCCCCCCCCCCGCGCCAAACTTGAACTGGTTTCTCCCGCACGCAGAACCGACAAGCGCCTTTAAGTTTCGCGTTACGTCCGCTGAAGAGAGCAGTACTGGGATTAGAAAATACAGCACTCATGCCCCCGGGACGCCGGAGACATCCCTTTCCCTCCGTCCGTCCCTCCCGTGCCCGCCACAGCGCCCCGAGAGCCCCCGCGGGCAGGGCCGGGCTGGGGCCGCGCCGCAACCGCGGGCCACGTGCGGGCGCCGCCCCCGGCCGTGCCCCGGGCACCCCGCGGGGACAGAGGCGGCCCCGCCGCAGGGCTCTCACCGCCGGTCGGTCCGGGACGGGCGGGACACCGGGACGGGCGGGACACCGGGAGCGGCTCCGCAGCAACCGCCGCCGCCGTCGCGAGTTGTTTTGACGTCAGTGAAGCGGTCGCGCGGCCGGCCCCCGGCGCAGTGCGCCTGCGCGGGCCCCACCCAGCCCGGCCGCGGGGGGCGGGGCCGGGAGCGGGCCTGGGGCCGGTTCGTGTGGAGGCGGCCTGTGGGAATAAAAGGCGCGGGATGTGCTCGCTTCCAGATCCGCCTGGGGTTTTGGGATACGGAGATGTGCTCGGAAATGAACGCGGCTTGGTGTCTGAGCACTGTGGTGTTCGCGAAAAATAACATTGCTGAAGCTGATTTGGATCTGGAAGGGGTTTTGTTAGTTAAATAACTGTTAACAGTGCTTGAAGCTTCTGGAATTTCTTTGGTATTACAAAATCTGTTAAAACTTTATATCAGTAAATAAGAGATTTTTTTTTAAAGGACAGTTACATGTACAAAAAAATATTCCTCCTCTCATGAGTGGGCTGGAACATACTTGATAATATTTTCATAATAGAAGTACATCATCATTACAAAACACAGAAGAAAAATACTTGATTTAAATCTCTGCATTTTTTTCCAGCACTAATAGGCTGTCTGTCTAATAATGGTCTAGGTCATGAGTAGTTGCCATATGTTTGTTATTTTATATGCAATAACATTCTGTATTCTATACAGTAAGAAAACTGTATACTGTGTACTGTTCTGTCATTAAAAAAAACTCCACTCTGTCATTTAAGAAAATAAATACACGTTACTGGAGCAACTGGAAGTAACTTTATGAGGCATAAACAAACAAAAAACAACCCAGTAGTTTTATTATAGTAATTTTGGAAGAATGAATCAAACACTGCAGACAGTAGTGATTTTAGTTTGGCATATCCTTTTAATTAACATGCCCCACCAACTGCTCTTTCTTGCTATAAGCTGGGGGAAACTTGCTTGTGCACTGAATTACCTGTCTACAGTTTTGGGACTGTCCCAGCTCCTGTGTGCAATTCAGGCGTGCGACAGGGAGATGATCTGCCATCATCTAGGATCACTCAGTATTTTATTTGTAGAACAGAGAGTGTGTGGCAAAGCAGAACAACGGTGAAAAAGATCAGACAACAGACAATGCACCCACAAAGGTGGGAAGGTTGAAGCACAGAGGGAGGCGTTCGCTAAAGTGGTGAATATAGCAGCAGACACAGAAGTGCTGGTGTATGGATGCCTCCCCTCGGTTGCTAGACCAAAGGTACCAAAGCATTTTTAAGGTTTGAGATAACCAAAGGAGTAGGGAGCTGGAGGATCTATCTCTTTGGTGAAACACAAATAAATATTATGGCTGGGCAGATAATTGAGAAGGGCTTGGACAACTGCATGTTCACTTTTGGTAAGGAGAGTGGAGTAAAGATTTTTTTTTTTTCTTCCAGAGCGATGTATCTATAATGTATAGTGAATTCCATTAGCTCCCTGCATGTGAGGAGACAGCCTGTCATTCCCATTACAGAGCTGCGGAGCAGACAAAGCACCGAGCACAGCTCCGGGGTGGCGGGAGCAGGGACACCGCCGGGGACTGGCTGCTCCACGCCTCTCCGTGCGAGGGAATTCCCCGGGCTCTGCCTGTGTGCCACCAGCAATCACTCCAGGCGGGAGCGGCGCCAGGAACCTGCGCTGCATTGTGCCTGCGGGCCGGCTCACAACCCCAGTCAGAATCATTAATCCTATTAAATTATTCATCGCCCATCCACTCGGCGCGCCTCATGGGCCGGCACTGAGCGGCCCCGGCCAGGGCTGCAGCGGGCTGCTGCTTTCACTGTCGGGCCGCGCTCCCGGCAAGCCCCGAAAGGAGGCTGAGCCAGCTGGGAGGCGGCCTCTGCTCCCGGGCAGCCAGCGAAAGGACAAGGGTACATTTCCTCAGGCTGCGCCAGCGGTGGTCCAGGTTGGACACTAGGAGGAATTTCTTCACAGAAAGGGTTAACATGGCAATGGACTGCCCGAGGAGGTGGTATAGTCACCGTCCGCGATCATGTTCAAGACCCGTCCGGACGCGGTACTTAGTGCTATGATCCAGTTTTACAGCAGTCCAAGGCTAGACTCGATGGTCCCAGAGTGCATTTCCGACCACATTGATTCCGTGATTCCGTGCTTTCCAGGCCCAGCGCCGAGCGTGCCCGAGAGCCCGTCCCTCGGGCCGTGGCAGCGGGGCAGGCCGGGCGCTGTGGGCGCCGTACCCTCGCCTCCCATGGTGGGGGGGGGCGGTGCCAGCGCTCCCCGCCCCCGGCCGGGGCCGCCCGCATCCCGCCCTCCGTCCCTCCCCCTGGGCCGGCCGAAAGGGGCGTCGCCGCCGCCGCCATCGCCATGGCCGGTTGTTGTCAGTCCCTGGCAGCGGGTTATGGCGACGGCGGTGAATGAATTCTCCGGGTGGCCGAGGGAAGAAGAAGGGCTCAGCCGGCTCCAGTTCCGCGCCTCCGACCGCCGGCGCCTCTCCCTCCTCGCCGCCCGGGCCGGCGCCCCCCGTGCCGCCGGCGGGGGCGGCGGCGGCGGCGTCCCCGCACAAGCGGAACCTGTACTACTTCTCGTACCCGCTCTTCGCCGCTTTCGCCCTGCTCCGCTTCGTAGCCTTCCAGCTCGGGCTGCTCTTTGCCTGGCTCTGCGAGCGCCTCTCCCGCGGCGCCCTCATGGCCGCCAAGGGCAGCAGGGCCGGGGCCGGCGACGCGCCCGAGCCCGGCGGGGCGCCCGAGACGGTGCGGGCGTGCCACAAGCGGGCCTTCGAGTGCATCTCCATGGCTCTGCGCATCGACGAGGACGAGACAGGTAGGGAGGGAGCGCCCGCGGCCGCCCCGGGGTGCGGGGGGAGGCCGGGAAGGCCCTGTGCCGTGGAACCGCTTTCAGCTAAGAGCAAACAAAACCCGCTTGGGAGAGAAATGCGGGGGCTGCGGACGCTGTGTGCGGGGGTTGAGCCGTGCTGTGCCCGCATGCCGTGGCGGTGCTTTGGTCGCCGGCCGGGTCCGTCCGTGCCGCAGGTGCGGGTCGGATCACAAAGCTGCGGCCCGGGCTCGTTCCCCGTGCAAGACAAGTGCTTGTATCTCTCCCCAAAAACTTAATTTTTGCCGCGGGGGTCTGGGTAAGGCGGTTAAAAAATTGCTGGCGGGTGTGTTACTGTAACTAGCCTTCACCAAGCCAGCTGGACAACAAAAGCACCAAGGACAATAATAAGGATGCATCCTGTACTGCACTGCCTGACAAATGATGTGAGTGCTCAAGCGAGGCTGCAGGTTACTTGGCCCTCAGAATGCCCATTTGGAGTGGTGTGACTTTTAAGGAAATAAATACTTGCTTTAAGTATTTTGGCAGTTTCTTAAAAAATGTTTTTCTTAAACTGTATGACATGCATACTCTTAAAAAACCTAAAAACCTACCACTGTGTGATGAGAAGACCTTAAGGAGAGCATTTAGGGTTCAATGAAATATAACAGGAGTGAGGTTTTTTTTTTTGTGGGGCATTAAAAAAACCCCAACCAAACAAAATACTTGCTACTGAATTAAATTTAATAATTTGTTCTAAATGCAGCAGCATGATTCTGTCAGCATGCAAAAGGTAGGCCTTGGGGACATGCTGTGATGGTGTTTAAAATTGTCAGGAAAAGTCAGAATGCTTTATTCTAAACTTTCAGTTGCGCTTTAATGAAACTGCTATCCTAGAGGAGGAGATTAAAAATATAGCAGTAGGCCTTCAACAGAAGCTGCATGCTGACAGCACCACAAAAGCATGGGATGTGTCCTCCTTTGCAGTGACAGTTTGGGAGTGGCAGTGGTTCACTCTGGGAGAGAAAAAAAACCTGCACCATGTGCAGCAAGGTTAGCTCAGCACAGCTGTACAGGGAGAGAGCACTGAGGGTCATAGGAACAAAGCATGAAAGAAGGTGAGATAGCTGAAAGCTTTGGTGGTGTTGATGATTGCTCTGTGAGGAGTAGCAAAGTCTTGTCTTATCAGGCACCTCTTCCACTGCTGTGACCTTTAATTGTTGGTGGTTTGGAGGGTAAGCCCTTAAATATGAATTTTAATAATGGACTTGCTCTGTAGGGATCTTTAGGGTGATCATACATTAATTAGTTGCACAGGCCATACATTTAGTAAGATGATCTTTGCTGCTAATATGAGCATTTGCACAGCTGTTACAGCCCTGCAACATTCCACTAAGAAAGAACTCCTTTTAATACATAGATTTGTTACTTGCTTATTTAATTTTGCCAGAATACTTGTCTATTCTTTGAAAATTTTTTGATCTGTAAACAAGCTTTTTATATCTTCACAGAGAAAACCATATGTTAGACATAGTATGTAAAATGGTTGGAATTTCTGAATTGTCTAATAGCCTGTTAGTTGTGTGGCATTTTTGCTGTTGTGGGAGCTATGCATACTTCAGTAATTTTGATAGCACTTCTGGTAATTTTTTATGCTTCTGAATTAGTGGTGCAATTATTCTTGTTTTGGTATTTTCACAATTAAGCTTAATATATTTCCTTAAGAAGGTGCATGTGCTGTGTTGACCCCTGCAAGCAGTTAAGCATCCTCCACACAGCTTCTTGTTTACTCTTCTCAGTGGGACAGGGGAGAGCATAGGAGGAGCAAAAGTGAGGGAAAAAAAATGAGAAATCTTTCCAAGCAATGATTGCCTTTGAAGACAGCCCCCATTCAATTATTCATCTCCCCAGGTTTTTATTGATGACCATTATATTGTATGATGCAAAATATTGCATTGGCCAGTTTAGGTCAGTCATCCTGCTAGTGTCCTCTCCCAGCTTCCTGTGCACCCCTCAGCCTTCTCACTGGGGATCTGTGTGGGAAAAATAAAACCTTGAGGTTGTGCTGTTCAGCAATACTCAAAACATTTCTGTGTTATCAACTGTTTTAGTCACAAATCCAAAACACAGTGCCATTGGGGCTGTTTGAGGAAAATGAGCTCCATTCTGCCAGAGCCAATACGCCAAGTCAGCAACTTCCAAGGACTGTGACATTTATTTTATTTTTAATGTCATAATCCCTGAGAACTAGTCAACCATTCTGTGTGGAGTTGGAGCACAACCTTTGCAAACAGCTTGGTGTGGTATT